ATATATATATTTCATCTAAATTATATTAGAGTGTATAACTTAAACCTTTAGATAGATGATAGATATGCCATTAATAAATCTTGTAAATAGTCGTTCATCCAATAATTTTTATTTTGTAGTTACAACCCTAATACAAAAAGCTTTTTCATCAATAACATTGGCATATTAATAAGGTAAAGGCGGACTTATAGTATGATTCCACTGAATTCGAAGCCGGAAATTTGATAAGAGGCATAATGGAACAATTGGCTGCAAATCCAGGGAAAATGACGTGTTAATACTTAATATTGTACAAATGTGGAATTTTTTGGTGTATCCCGAGTGTAACGATCATAGAAAAAACCTAATTAACCATCCAACTGAAAATTTCCAACCAAATCGAACATGTACATCTAAATTTCATTCATCTGCTATATTAAGTGACCACCGGGCCTTAAAATCTATTCAATTCGGTACATCCGCTTCTTCAATGACATCGTAAAACTGGTAATTTACAATGGAGGTGTAAAAGAAACCCAGAAACATTATACCATTAGGAGGAAAACACCACATCAAAACAGTATTCACCTCAGCCTCACCTCAGCTCTCAAAGCAAAGGGGTAGGAGAGAGCCATATGGAACGGGAAGGATACAATATATAGGTACTCTCTTTGCCTTTAATTAAACTTACCAAAGAAAATGTTGAAGGCCTGCCGGAGATTTCATGCACCGATGTTGTGGAACGAGTGCATCTGATGACAGGTACCTTGTTAGAACAAAATCTGAATTGCAACCCAAATTAGTCCCTTTTGATAACTTAAGCTACACCTAATTTCAGGAGTCCCAGTGAAAATATTGAAGACATAGGAAAAGAAAGACTGAAATAAAAATGATCATATGAAAATATACCAAGCAAGCTGAGCCAAAAGGCAGTTTACTCTTCTTCCAAAATAGAAGTTGAATCACTACTCTGGCCAAAGATGTCAGGTATTCCATCCCAAGTGCCTTTTTCTCTCACTTCCCAGTATCCACCAACATAACGATAACAACCATCCTCATCCACACAGAACCATCTTGGCTGCCATCCTTTCTCCTGTAACTTCCTTGCCTGAATCACAAATTAAACTAAAAATCAATATCTTCTTTAATGAAAGAAATTGGTGTCAAAATCAAATTTGCATTTCAAATCTATCAGATTTAAACACTCCATTCCCATCAGAACACAGTGGTCCTGATCATACCTCAGAGGAGAAATGGAATTACGTTGGGACCAGAGCATACACCTGGGTATCATTCTAGCCAATTTGAAGCAGATAGATAGAAAGCGAGAGAGATAGAGCACCCTAATTGCTAAAAAACTTTGCTGTAACCAAATCTTATCACGTACAGTTTATAAAGGCTATGTCATTTTTCAATGTTAAAGGACATAAAGATCTGGCAAAAAAGATGACAGTATATAAATACCTGTCTCTGTAACTGTTCTAATCTCAGCTTCTCAGCATTTGCCAACTCATATTCCCCATTTTCCAAATATCTCTGATCTGGCCTCAATCTTGAGTCAGTAGGAGGCAACTTCTCCAATAAGCCAGGAGTCAATTCATTTAAAGATATGGCGAATGGGGTAAGATTGTATCTTGTCTTGGTAACAGATTTGTCTCTTTCCCACAGCAAAACAGCTTCTGTCATTGGATCATATCCTTTTGGCTTTGTAGTTGGATCTCCCAACACATAGTACATGGCTTCATCCCACTTGCCCACCAACATTGCTACCTTTTCTCCAGTCTTATTGTCATGTACAAATCCATGAACCTGAAAGAATGAGAAGATAATAATTTATTCTTTCTTGGAGTTACGGTCAATGTCCAACAGAACAGTACTTAATCTTTTAGCAATAAAATTGGTATGTGTGTGCAACAGGTGTTTTACAAACAACCCCAAGAGAAATAGAACAGAAAGGCAGCAGCATAGACCCAACTTTGATATCATGTCAGGAAATAGGATGTATATCAAACTTTTCCAGGAAAATTATTATTCAAAGACCATTCACTAAATATTGATGTCAATAATTGTTTAGGTGTTCAGAGAAATTGACATTTTCACCAAATGCACAAAAGCATTCACCAATAGATATCATCCTATATATATCTAGTACAGCTGGTATGCTAATCATAACTAGTTATCAAAATCACCTGATGGGGATTTCGGTCTATAATAGACTGCTCCTTGAACTTGAGCTTGCAAGAGTAATTGCCACTGCCCCTGATGCGCATGGTACCATAGTGATCGCAGTAAATTTTGCCAAGAATAATATTGTATATAGAAGTAGTGACTTTGCTCCACTGAAACGTTTCTCCATCCTCAAACTGCAAGGTTAGGATACCAACTGGATCAAGTTGAATAGACCGTCCCCAAAACTTGCCTTTAAGATTGGAGTCCCCCCAGAATTTCCATCCTCTTCCCTCACAATGACAAGCAACAATCATTGGGTGGTGACTAACCTGAATGCAAACAGCTTTCAATTTACTGGTTAGCCAGAATATCTCATGAGACTATCTACACCCGGAAATTGGAAAACAAAAAAGAGGCAATGAAAATGCAACCTGATCTTTTCATAAAAGTTTATCATTGCTTTAGTCAAGGATCAGTTGAAGTAAATGATATACCTTTTCAGAGAAAAAACGAAGTCCTTTATCTGGATAGTCAGCCTCGTATGTCTCCCCAAGAAGAGGATTGAAGGGTTTGCACTGTCGACCTTCTGTTGATGCATAGCCAGATACCGCAAAAGCTGTGACATTTAGAATTCTCATCAAGTCATTTCCCTGCAGAATGTTAACAAATACTGTCAACCCAATTATAGCATAAATAAACTAATGCAAATTTCTCATGTCTAAAATCAGCAACAAAACGTAACAGCAACAGTAATCTTTAGATATGAAGCACCAAGGAAGATAGGAAAGATTTTATAATGGACAGATGACTGGCCAAACAGAAATAATGGATGGATAAATTTAGGGTAACAAACATGCCAAGGAAGATAAGTTTGGAATTTTATTAGAAATCCGCCACCACTAATTAGAAGCACAAGAAAAGGGAGAAAACTTTTGAAGAAATATATCATGAACATGACCTATTTTAGAAATTAAACGGATGTTCCACATAACCAGCCACAATGAGGGGAGTATGACTAGCCATATCTCTAATCCATTATTTTATTACCAAAAGAAGACTTCATCATATATCTTGTATTTCTTTCCAAAGTCCATAAGCTCTTACACTATAAAAAAGCTTGAAGAAGCAAGGTACTGTGTCAACATTATTGTCCAGCACAAGAGTTCTTAAAGTAGGCAAACAACAAGAAGCTCCAAGTGGTAGAGAAAGAGTTTATCCTAGAACCCATTATTTATGAACAAAAGAAAGCTTCATCATATATCTTGAATTCTTCCAAAAGTCTGGTAAGTCTGCTCTTACACTGTAGAAAAGGCTTGAATCAAGGGTACCGTGTCAACATTGTTGTCCAGCACGAGCTCTCAAAGTAGGCAATCAGTAAGAAGCACCAAGTGTCGTGAAAAGCATTTATCCTACAAACTAAAGCTTAGAAATGTATGCAACCATTTGACCTTATTACTCATACTCCAAAACCCAAAAATGTGCACATAAAAAAAATTCTATTGCATGTAGGAGACGCCTAACTAGAAGTGAAAGAGATCATGCCATCTTTCTTCATTTCCTTCACCTAACTCTTTTGGTAAAGCAGACAACAAACAGTTAAAGAGAGAAAAGGCCATCTAACACTTGCTAAATGATGATGTTAAACTTGCTTTAAATAAAAACACACCAAGCCATGGTAAAAAGAAAAGGACAAAAAAAGAAAAAAAAGAAAAGAGCATAAAACAAGTTTTGGCAATGTGTCACTGGCTATCCACACAGCTGGTAGAATAAACTAGTTTCTTCAAACTAATGCTAGCACACAGACTACCTGTATTAAATTGTAATTCAGTTCATGTTTTAAAATTAATTTTCACAGAAGAAAAGAGAGCAGAGGATCTGACCTGCTTTCCCCATTCTGAGGCATGATCAACCAAGTATGAGTACTCCAAATCCTCGAAGCATTTCTGGAGTGAAGAGAGTGGCTCATTAAAATAGACAGGGAGACAAACTCCAGACAAATCTTTGCCAATATTGTCCTTAATAATTGACCATAAGCCAACTGGCTTCTCTTTCTCCTTTGGTTCTGGCAAATTATCCCTCCTTTTTACAAAAGGATATTGTATAATTTGGATTTCTTTATCAATCCCATGCAAACGATCAGAGAAGAAAGAATCTTTATCATATATGCTGCCATTTCCAGCTTCCCTACTCCGATAGGAAGCACTTCTCAGAGCTTCTGCAGACAGAAAGTCATTTGTATCAAAAAATATACCATCATCTTCATCTGTTTCAACATCCATGCCATCTTGACTTTCATTATCTGCAAAAGAATCAGTTCCACTGCCTTCCGACATGACAGAGTAGAAATCTGCAACATGAGGAAGATTGGGTAAGTTGTATTTTCTAGAACTTGGATAGTTTGAACTATTGCTACACATCTTGCAAGGAAACTTTCCAAAAGAGCAAAGACTATTTTATAGGAACGTTGCTGAATTTTCCTGAAGTCAAGAAAGCAAACACAACATGACAGATTTTATCCACAATGTAACCTTGGACTAAAAATCATATTGAGTAATTTCCCACCCACAAATAAACATCCTGAATGATTAAGCTTTTTTTTTTTATCAGCACTTGATTGATCAAACTGTTATAAATAAGCAAGTTGATAATGAGTTAGGTTTTCAGAAAGAAACAAGGGAGAAATTTCCTAAAAGGAATGTGGATTCGAAAAGGTATTCTAACAATAAAGTAGAACTAACCACTAAAACGTCTTCCTTGTCCACAGCATGACTCATGTTCCTTTGTTTCATCTACCACAGTAGTTTCCAGATCTATTTTCTCAGTCTGCAACCACATTTGAAAAATTGATATTTCTAAGAGGTCAGAAATTTTCCACATGGGTCAAATTTGATTAAATTTGAGAAAAGACAAATTTGATATGAAATGAGCCAGAATTACCAACCTAAACACCAGTTCATACAAGACCTCAAAAAAAAATCTCAAAAGTTCCCTAAACCCTTTAATATAATGCAAAATCACTCCAGATATTAATGTAAAAATCAGAAGAACCAAACTTACAAGCAAGGACTGACCAGACAGGCTGTCAGTCATCCCTTAACAACCCTTTCTTCCACATCCTTACAAGCCACAGACCATAAAGTTTACTCACATTCTCATCCAATGTCCAATTTTCACCCTCCTATTGCTATCGAACCACCTTATTCCAACTAATTCCCAACCTCAGTCCCCAAAACTTGATGGAAACAAAAAGCAACGGAGGTGATGAAACACACACCAAATAGAAATCACAAAACACAATTTTGGTCAGTGATCCTATAGACAGAAATTAATAGTTTATAGCCACAGTTTATGCTAGAATATCATGTGACTTTGAAATTTCAAATTTGACAGCTGATCAGCGGAAACATTAGGAATTGATCTAGCAATTATGCAGGGAAATTCAACAATATAATTTACAGTTCATGCTAAGCAACTTATATCTGTCAGAAATTGAACTCATTCTAATTTTAAACACCAAGACCAGCTTGAATGTGGTTGCCAGTTGCCACAAGGTTGGATAATGTAAACAAGTATCATGTCATAAGGCAAAAATAGGACAGTTGAAACAGCATAGAATTTGTGTTTATATTGAAGAGCATTAAAATATACAATGCAACAACAGACAATTAAAATACCTCTAATTGCCTCAGGGTCTCCAACAACATAAGGTGTTTATGTTGAAGAGCATTTAGCTGATTTTGCATCTGAGAAAGTTCCATGAGCATAATAGACTCACAATCTTTGATGACTGCCTCAGTTATGCCTTCCTGTAATAATCGTAACCTGATCTTCTCAGTTGAAATGACAACATCCTCAGAAGGTTGGAAATCATTACTTGATAGCACTCTAGGGAAAAGGTCTTTAGTAGCCAGCAATGCTTCAATCCATGCAGCTCTGTCATCTCTAGATAGACAACGCAAATGAAGAGTTTTCGTTCCTGTGAATATGGTAAGCCTTTTATCATCAGACTTGCTTGCACGAATTGAAGACACCTGTGCATCAGTTTATTCCAAACTTAGTGACCTCTTGAAGAAGAGAGATGATACATGACAGTTAAGTATTATTAGCACATGCATCATGAGAAGATACGAACTACATTCAATGACATCCTCAGTTTATACCAATTCTTTAAGAAACTTGAGGAGAGCTAAAATGGAGCCCGTCTCTAGTTTATATTGATAACACATTTAGAGCATGCCAGTATCAAGGGAGGTTGTTAATCAAATTTAAATGGAGTATGGGCAAATTGGCAATATTTGTTGTAGAGTTCTAGCATTTTCTCTCAGTAGTCACTGTGGGGAAATCACATGGGTAATTTGTTATGTGTTGCTGAAGCAGAGACATAGATTACTGCACTTATTCTCCTTCTTGAGCTAAATATTTCCTTCAAATCTAATGGGCATTCTTGGGAATGTGTCAATACTTGAAGGTCTAACAGACAAGTTGTGCATGTCCATCTTATGCTTCAGTAAAAAGTAGCTTGGTTATTGATTCTGGGTCTCATTCAAAATGAACTAAATTTCCTCCTTATGGAAGAGTCAAGAGGTTAAGAGAATTCTACCCTCCTCTAGTAACAAAGAGTTCCATACCCCATTGTCTATTGGCAAGTAGAATGTCCTTGATACACAGATATTGAGAATTCTTCCCCTCTTATTTCAAATAACTGATCTAAAAAGTTCATTTTGAATCCATAAGTCAAAAGAAATAAATCCATAAATCAAAACATGCATCATAAAATACTCTTTATTTCAACCTACGGAGTAAAGATTACTAGTTCATCTCTTCTTAATCCTCTAACCTTTACTTCACAAAGAGATTGTAAGAAAGATGAAAGAAGGGAAACGAATATCAGTAAACAATATCTTAATTAATTACCAGTATTAAATTTCTAACCTAAAAAGGTAGGAAAACTCGGTAACAGCGACCACAAAACCACACATTTAAACTTTAAAATATTATATATGTATATATATATATATATCTAAAAAGGAAAAAGGATTTCCATGATATCTTTTTACTTGAAATGGCATCAGTTCCGATCATGTCTCGCTTCCATGATAAGATAAGAGAAGAATCGGAGCTCTCATCCCGCCAGCAATTTCGAAACACAAAACCCGGAACTCAACACACATAAAAACGTACATTTATACGTACAGATATACAACGGAGTGAAACAGGGAGAGATTCCGCTCTCATATGACCGTACCTTCAAATGGATTTCACCGAACGGTTTGCACTGCTGGTTAGCTATGCCAGGGCGATGACTACTCCAGTTGGCCTTCCTCATGTACTGGATGGAATCCTCGCCGATTACTCTAACGCTCTTGTCCCTTGCCGGACTCTTGAAAATCTTGTCAGGTCCGTGAATCTTATAGTACGAAAGAACACCGTCTTCCAGCACAAACCACCTCGCCCTCCATCCTCTCCCGTAATTCACCCACTTATACAAAATCCCGGCCACGCAGCACGCCTTGGAGTCTCTCGGTTCTCCGATTGCCTCCTCGAATGCAGCGTGATTCAGAACCGACGTCGAGGATCTATCATTATCAGTGTTCACCGACGATACCTGAGAGGAGAAGCTCGGTTTGGCGGTGCTGTTCACGGTCCTAACAGAACTCTCCAGCTGACACTGAGTACCTGATTTCGGCTCCACCGGATTCGCCTGGTCACGATCGATTGACACCGGAGCAATGCAGCATAACGGATTCATCTCTTCAACCAACCAGAACCAGCTACATTCACCAAAATGAGTGAAGCCAGTACAGTGAATGCTCTGATTCGAAAGGTATCCGGCCGGATCGGAGATGGTGCGAGGCCCGATTGGAAGGGGTTATCGGAATCGGAAATGGCATAGGGAAGGAGGAGAGAGGCAGTTACGAGGAGGAGCAGTGAGGACAGAGATCCATTTAAGGCAGTGGTCAGTGATTGCAGTATGAGTATAGTTTCTCTGGATGCGTAGGTTAAGCTAATAGCCATTCGCCATTAAAATCTGTATAAATGCATGGCCATGGAGGATTTTTCTTTGCTTTTCCTTTTCCTTTGTTTTCTACTACTATTGGATTCTCTCTTTCCTCGGCAAATTGCACATACTCCCTTATACTTAGGGGCAAGTTTACTTAACTTTTAAATTTTTAAAAGATGTGCATTTCACTCTATGTAATTTCTCTTTTACCAGCATTGTAAGCAAACAAAGATTCTTTTAGTTAAGAGAATTGCATTAAACATCAATTGGGTAGGTGGAGTATGAGTCCTCCATTAACAGTTTAGACAAGAAATTTCTAAGAACTTATCTGATCACTCAATTTGTAACTCTATTCACATAATGTTGCATCAATTGAACTAAAAAACAAGGCTATTCGATGGTGTTGTAGGTATGTCAACCTAAATAGAAGAGATATTCCATGGTGAAGAGAAAGGCAAGACTTTTGTCAAATCAACTAGTGAAATCAATTGAGATAGCCCCTAAAGTAACTTGAAATGGATAAGCTTCTATAACCAATGCTGAATGGAATTGACGTGTGAGACAATTGCTCCTCTATTATCCTTACCTACCATTGCTACACCACTAGTACTTAACCTCACATTAAAAGTTGCATCACAATTCAACTTGATTGAATTATCAAATAATGGTACCCATCAACTAGAGGAAGTTCATCAAATACTCTAATGTAGTAAATTGTGTTGAGAATTACATCAAATCCATTAGTAGTTTATTGATCAAATAGACAAGTTACATTCGCACAAATTTTACTAAGTTGAAGCAACTTATGTTCAGACACCTAAACATTTCAAGCTTCCCATAAGACCCAATATAAGAAGTACATTCAAGAATGAAACTAAGTTGATGAGCAAACTTGCAACCAACGTCCTTCCATCCCTAAGGTACATCTATTATTAGGTTACTTTGTAATAAACAAATGAGTAAGAAATATTTACTATCATTTTTCTTTGAAAAAGATTATTCCTTATTTTTTTTATAGTTTTAATGAAGATTTATTAAAGTATATTTAATTTTAACTTTTCCAAAAAAAAAAAAAAAAAAAAAACAAGAGTTCTCAATTTTGGTTTTACTTTTATGGTTGTCACTCTCACTCACTCTAATCAAAGGAGGGCAAGAGGAGAAAGTGAAATCAAGAGTGAATTTGCAATTTTTATTTGGGGGTTTAAAGTACATTTGCCCCAAACTAAAAGGAGCATGTGTGCATTTCTCTTATTTTTTTAAAAAAAATCTGATTTCTGGAGGGACAGCTAACGTGCGCAGTTTTGTAATTGGGAGCATAGGAAGTGAAGTCTGTTGTCCCGTTGGGCTGTGGCCCGTTGGCTGGGAGTGAGGATGCAATGACTTTATTAACCCTATCTTTTGGCATTTATTAGCAATAATTATACGTATGTTGGGGGTATTATGGATATTTCATAATTAGTGAAAGCGATTACGGATCGATGGATTTCAAGATTTGACATGCTTCCGTTTTATTTGTGGGACAGTAAGCTGAGATATTGGTTTTTCCCGCATCAATTATTATTATTATTATTTTGGGGTAAATCTCGTTTTATACCCTATTAATTTGGAGATATAAGGTTTTGTTTGGCTGCCTAACTTCACTTATGCTTTGTTTTAGTATAAGGAGTTGTATATTTTTTGTTTGGTTTTTATACATTTTAACACCATTAAAAATCAAAATAAAAAATAAAAAATAAAAAATTTGTTTAAAATAAATTTTAATATTGACCAAAATTATTTATTTATTTAATAGTATTAAAATTATTTTTGTTTTTATTTCTCTAATAATTATAGTAATATATTGTAAAAATATATAAAACTAAAGGAGTTTTTCTAATTTAAAATTGTAAAATTTATAAAAATCAAAATAAAAAATGCAAAACCATAACGACATTAAAAAAGTCTTCCTTAACCCTTCTTTTCCTTTTTTTTTTCTCTGATCTGAACAAAAATGATCAATTTTAAATAATAGTATATTCGTAATTTCATAAGTAAGTTATTTTATTTTATTTTAATCATTTAACTAAAAAATAACGATTAATTCTATAATCTTAATGAATTAAGTTGGACAGATATTTTTTGAATGAAGGACATGAGCAATAAGCTATATGATGATTTTTGCCGGGAGAAAATGAAATGTATCGTGCATGATGGTGATAAACCAATAATTCAACATAATCATGATGAATCCTTGTATTGGTTTGTCATGATTGATGATAATATTTAGGAGAAATGTAAACCTCAATATTTCAAAAAAGTATACTTAGGTGTAATCTAGTATGTGTGTTTTAAAATTAATTTTTTGTATGAATCATACTATTGAAGACTCGCCCAACAGAATCATAATGTCTTTTTGTATTGATTTGACATGATCCATGATAATATTTAGGGTATATGTAAACATTATTATTTAAAAAATAATTATTTTTTTAAATGATCAAGATATATATCTTTAAACATATTATTTTTTTTACTCATTTTCGATATTCAAAAATCATATTAAATTTTAATTAATTTGGGGTCGAATCGTATTGAATCCCATATAAGAGGAAGTTCTTTTAGTATATGTATTTTTCATTCACAAAATTTAAATTTAAAATCTTATTTAAAAAAAATTGAGATTTTTTCACTAAAATCTATAAGTCATTAGTATCTTTAAACATATGGTAAGGAACTTTATAATGATATATTTTAAGATTTAAACTCCACGTTCTTCCTACAAGGTCAGACTTGCATTAAATTTTAACATTAGAAACTGTTTCATAATTCCCTTTCTTAGAGTTTTTCATTACAACCAACCAATTTAACTGCTTCCGTTAATTTCTCCAAGCTCTGTTGTATTCGTAATAAACCAACAATTAAGAACCTCCACTTCGATTGGTTGTTCGTTTTGTCAGTAGTAACATATTTACATATAAAATTTTATATATTATATTTATATAAAATTTTAATCTTTTATTTTTTGTTTTTAATTGTTGAGATTTAGATTATTTAGATAAAAAATAATTATCTTTAATAAATATAAATAAATTTCAATTATTAAAAATAAAGAAATATATAGTTGAGATTTTGTGTAAATATAATATATAAAATTTATATATAAATGAATT